CTCCTTACACACACAGAGCACACAACACTGCTTACACACACACAGCACACAGCACTCCTTACACAACACAGAGCACACAGCACTGCTTACACACACAGAGCACACAGCACTCCTTACACACACAGAGCACACAGCACTGCTTACACACACAGAGCACACAGCACTCCTTACACACACAGAGCACACAGCACTGCTTACACACACAGAGCACACAGCACTGCTTACACACACAGAGCACACAGCACTGCTTACACACACAGAGCACACAGCACAGCACTGCTTACACACACAGAGCACACAGCACAGCACTGCTTACACACACAGAGCACACAGCACAGCACTGCTTACACACACAGTGAGGCTATCCTATGTACAATTCTCACCCCTACACCAAAATTGTGTGCAGACATGCACACAGAGTGGAATTTTTCATAGATGAAGTGTGGTTTTAGTTCAGGTTTAGGCTTCAGGATTTGACAAAACCCTCCACTATCTGTTACTCCCTTCCTCTGTTTCAAGCGGTGTCTGCCCTACACACATCTGTGCCTGGCCCCATGCCTTGTAATAAGGGGCTTATGCTGTTGAGCCTCTGGCCATCCATGGTAGGCACCAGAAGAGAATATATGGCCCAAGCTAGAGCTGAGCAGGCCAGCTAAAAGCTAGCTGGTGGCCTGGAGACGGGAGGAGAGGGGGGGCCAGTCCCTGACTGTACTTAGTGGTAAGGGGCAGGCCCTGGGGAGGCCCTGTGCCAGGATGGAATGAGTCTCAGTGATGCCCAGTGGGTCGGGCCTGTTGATTCTAGCGAGGAAATGAGACCCGGGGGGGGGGTGTGGGGGGGTGCGGAAAGACGCTGACGTCAGAATCCAGAACAGAGCGGGCCCTGCCATTCCAGTGGCTGTCAAAGGCTGTCACAAGGCAGCTGTGGCTCACACCTGCTTATCAGCCGTGGGGTGTGGAGAGGGTGTCTCAGATGGGAGATAGGGCCGAGACAGGCCTGTCGGCACGGGGCCCTGCTCCGCCTCCCTCATTCACACCTCCTCAGAGGCCATCAACCACCCTGCCCCTGCAGCCTCCGGCCCACCCGCCCCACTGCACCTCTCTCCAGGGAACTTTCATGGACAGTTATCCAGATGTCAAGACGCTAACTAGGGAAGACCCTGGGACCGCCTGGAGGTTAGGAGATGCTGCTTAGCCAAAGTTGAATCCTAAGGATACATGAGAGCCAAACCTGGGGACAGACTGACCTGGGACATATGGGGTCTGACTACAGACGGGGCACAGGAATAAGGGTCCCCGAGGCCATAGCGAAGGGCGACAAAGGAGCGCTGGTCCCTCCAAGTTGAAGGCTCCTGTAGGCAGTCATTGCCCTGTGCTGGGCTCCACCAGTCTGGCTGGACCCCCAAGCAAAGGGGCTCCATTTCTGCCTCCACATGGGGGTCTTCTCCATCTGGCCAGGGGTCAGAGGCTCTCTTTGCAGTGCCAAGTGTGGTGGTGACAAAGAGGCATGACAATGGGAGGCTGCAGGCCTCCAGTGTGGCCTGGTGGCCTGTGAAGGAGACAGGCAGGCCCCAACTGTGCCCCAAAGGTGCCGGGGTTCAGAAGCTGATTGATATCCCCACCCCACAGCAGACACCTGGGCAGACGGCACCCCTGGTGTCAACTTGGCAGGACACTTCAACTGGTGTCCACAGTGACCTGGGATGGAGAGACGTCATCCCCGTATCCCGGCTGGGGACGCGGGAGGCCCTAACCCAGGCTGTGCTTCCTCAGGACCAAACACACGGGAGCCTCTGCTCCACACAGACAGCCATCTCCTGACCCTCACCTTCCCATCAGTGCTCAGCACGTGGTGGTGTCTTGACTCAGGCCACCCACGTGGCATTCCAACTCAGTTGGCTGACCCAAGCACCCCGTGAGGCTCTCCCCCGTAGGACTTAGCTGTCTCTAGAAAGTTGGCAAACAAACATGACTACAGCCATCCTGAGACCCTGGCAGATGGCTGCAGTCTGGGCATCTTTGCTAGTTACAGCCAATGCGTACTTAGCGCCTACTCACGCAGTGGGCTCCGGAAACCTGGAAATCAGAAAGTGCTGACGAGATCCAGGGGCTAGGAGCCGCACAGTTCAAACATCTGAGGGGTCAGGAAGAGGTAGACAGTGAACTGCTTCCCGGCTGACGCACAGCTCAGCATCACTCCATCCCTCACCCTGCACCTGTTAGCCACACCCATTCCCCAGAACCGGCCGCCATTTCTCAGGAGATTACCAAACTGCACGTTTGTCCATCGGCCCTCGGCCAGTCCTTCCCAACCTGGTCCAGAGGAAGAAACGAATTCAGGAAGCTGGAGTCAGTGGGCCAAGGTTGCCCTGCTGGAGCCACACATGCTACCCAGCCTCTGCCAGTCAACAGAGCGGCTCATGTGCAGTGTTGGAGGCCTGTGTCTGCACCGCGTAGCCAACTAAGCGTTATGTCCTCAAGTAAACAGATGCACTGATCAGAAGACAATCAGAACACTATTTTTTAAAGATTTATTTTTATTGGAGAGTCAGATACACAAAGAGAAGAAATGACAGAGAAGAAGATCCTCCATCCATTGATTCACTTTCCAAGCGGCTGCAATGGCTGGAGCTGCGCCAAACCGAAGCCAGGAGCCAGGAGCCCCCTCTGGGTCTCCCATGGCAGGTACAGGGTCCCAAGGCCCTGGGCTGTCCTCCACTGCTTTCCCAGGCCACAAGCAGGGAGCTGAATGCGAAGGGGGCTGTCAGGATTGGAGCTGGCATCCATATGGGATCCCAGGTGCGTGCAAGGCAAGGACTTTAGCCACTAGACTACCACGTTGGGCCCAAGTTATTTAATTACCAAAGGGAATCTCCACTGGCTCTGGCTTAACACACGAAAAGCTTGTTCATTCAATCTGATCTCAAAGCTGGGAGGTATGGTGATCATGTCAGCTGGTTAGCGCAGGACTCCACTGAAGATTGGTGGAAACGACGTTAAGATGGCTGGGTATACATTAAAGCCCAAACTCGTGTTCCCACAACTGTGTAAGCACGTGCTGGGGAAATCCGTCTGATGGCTTGTCATCTTAAGACCTGGAACAGGCATGAGTTCCACACGCCTCGGTGGTTTGGTGACAAGAGTGAGGATCTGTAAGAAGAGTGGTCCGCCCCCCAACCCCACTCAGCACCACCACCAGCAGGGATACAGTGGCACGCAGGCAAAGGGAATCCCGAGGGTGAAGGGTCCTACAGGAGGGCCTCAGGGTTGCGACTGCACAGCCTGTCATGGCCACGAGTGACAGAGAGGCTTCCGCTTAGGTTTCCTAGGTGCTGTTGTCAGGGAAACGGGCGCCACCATCCCAAGAGAGATGCGGAAAGTCCTTCAAAGACACTCGGAAGCTCCGGCCGCCCACCTGACTCTTGATCAAGGGAATGTTCAGCTGGGAGAAGGCCGAGGCAGCGCAAGGAACGAGGCAGTTCTCAATTAGTCAGAACTATTAGTGCTGCTTGCTTAAAACACTTTTGGGCCAGGCAAGGTAGCCTAGCAGTTAAAATCCTCACCTTGCATGGGCCCGGGATCCCATACGGACACAAGTTTGTATCCCAGCGGCCCCAGGTTCCCATCCAGCTCCCTGCTTGTGGCCTGGGAAAGCAGTCGAGGACAGCTCAAAGCCTTGGGACCCTGCACCCGTGTGGGAGACCTGGAAGAAGGTCCTGGCTCCTGGCTTCGGATTGGTGCAGTTCCAGCCACTTTGTGGTCACTTGGGGAGTGAATCAGCAGATGGAAGATCTTCTTCTCTGTCTCTCCTCCTCTCTGTATATATCCGACTTCCCAATAAAAATAAAAAACAAACACTCCAAGCCTGTGGTTAGGGATTTCATATCTTCTTGTCCACCAAACCAACTGCTCTATTGAGACTAGACGAACGGATGATCTTGATGGAAAGCTAGAGGAAGAGATTTGGGCACACGGTGCAAAGTTTAACAGGAGCTGCTTAGCAGATGACAGCAAAGGCTTGATGTTATTGCTCAGACGTCAGATTGTAGAAATACAGTGGAATGTGCTCCTTTCAGAAAACAGGAGCTGAAATACCAAAGCCATGGGCCAGTCCTCTGTTTTTTTATTTATTTACAAAAAATTACTTTTAATTGGTTCAAGAAAGAAAAAGAAAAAAACCAAATGAGATAATTGACATAGGCGGGGAGGCAACAATCGCTTTCCTTTCTGAACATTTTATGGGCTGGAAATTTTTCAAAGTGAATCTGGGGGGCACGGGGAGGGGGATTAAGCCCGGCCCAAGGCCTGCTGGAAGAGACGAGGTCTGCTCCCCCGTCCAGCCTGGGCCAGGGCCTCTGGCGGCATTTCTGTGCTTGTAAAAGCTCAGGTCCCACACTGGGCGCAGTCACAGCCAAGACCTGCTGTGTGATGCTAGGCCATGGCGACCCCTAGAGGTGCTATGTGCAATCACACCTTGGCATGTTGAACTGGAAGGAGACCAGTCAGCCAGCGCAACCCAGCTGCCCCAAAGGACCTGTGGGCCCCCATCAGATGTTGCCAGGTTCTCTGGAGCCCTGAGGATTGGTCCCTGAGGTACGGCTGAGCTAGCACTGGACTTGTCATGGCCAGTTTCCATGAGTGATGCCGACCAGTAAAGTGGACATGGCACAGCCACACGGGAGCCAAGTCCCATGCCCAAGGAGAGGTAGCCCTCACGAAGTCCCCCAGAGCCAACTAGAGTGAGGGTTCATGAGAAACATGGAAATGTGGCAGGAAGCTCCTACACCCATCAGGGGACAGCACCCAGAGGGAAGGTGTGAGGGGTGTGCAGGCGTGTATAGGGGTGTGAGAGGTGTGTGAGGGTGTGTAGGGGTGCAGGGGTGTATAGGGGAGGTATGAGTGTGTAGGGGTGTGCAGGGGTATAGGGGTGTGCAGAGGAGGTGTGAGGGGTGTGTAGGGGTGTGTAGTGGTGTGAGGGGTGTGTAGGGGTGTGTAGTGGTGTGAGAGGTGTGTAGGGGTGGGCTGAGCAGCTTATAACCCATGACGTCAGTAGCAGTGACCCTCGTGTACTCACAGGCGGTGACGTGACAGTCCTCGGGGCCACTCCAAAGTCCTGAGGAGGGACACGGGCTTTCAGATCTCTGAAAGTCAAGACGGGAACCACCCATCCAAGAGGTGTGTGTGGGACCCTCCATCGCTGCCCACTGCCCCGGGCAGGCTTCCCCATGGCCGTGCCTCACCACCAAGCCCTGCCTGGGGGCAGAGGAAGCCTCACGAGTGGATCGGGGCCTGCTGCACTACGACCCACCCCGCTGGGCAGCTCCCCCATAGCCGCCTCTGCCTGGGCATGAGGGTGTGCCCGGGCCTGGGTGTCTGATGGAAGACATCCTGGTCAGCCACCCACAACTACCACCTGCACCACGTGGGTTCTACTCCCAAGCAGCAGCCGCTGGGAGAAGGTGTCCTCGCCCCAGTGTTCCCCCAAAAACCAAACAGGTACACAGGTGGGTGAGCTCCTCAACAAGCCCCCTATCCCACCCCATGGCAACATGATCACCCATGGCCCACTCCAGAAAGCACAGTGGGTGCTGGGTCCCCATGCTGACTGGAGCACAGGCCGCCAGCCAGGCTCCTGGAGGCACCAGACCAGCAGAATCCTGCCCTCCTGCAAGGTCAAGAAAGCCTAACTCGTGGCCGTCCACGTGGCCTGGCTCGTGGCTGTCCATCAGGCCGTGCCGTGGCCTTGCTCGTGACTGTCCACAAGGTGGCGCTGCCGCTTCTGATGATAGTGGCATCTATGAGGGCAGGTTCCAACCCCAGCTGCTCTGCTCCCACTGCAGCTCCTGGGAAGGCAGCAGAGAATGGCCCGAGCACCTGGGTCATTCCAGCCACTTGGGTGACCCGGATGGAGCCCTGGGTCCTGTCTTTGGCCTGGCCCAGCCTCAACTGTTGAGGTCAGTAGGAGAGTGAACAAGCGGATGCAAGACCTCTCCCTCCCTGTTGCTCTCTCAACTGGAGAAATCCCGCCCAGGTCCCATGCATGCCCTCCAAAAACCCTGTAATGGTTTGCTTTGTAGCATGCAGAAGCTAAAACTCCCAGTGGCAGGCAACATCATAAGAATAATAATAAAGCAATTATGGCCCTTCTTCTGCCACTGAATAAAAAAAGGCAGCTTGCGGGTGTTCAGAATAACCAGCAGCCAAACGCTGAAGACTGAAGTTCTCTAATCCAGAGGAAAATCCTAAACTCTACCCACTCTTTGCCCTGTGTTGTTCTGGGGGACCCCTAAAGGGGCAGAGCCAACAACGGGCCCATCGCTGCTGAGCATACACAATGGCACCATGTTGTGTGACCAGTTCTTCTCTGTAGGTCTCTCAATGACCAAGTGGCAACTTTCATTGGAAACCAAAACCTAAGGCACTTCACTGACGGTGAGGCCAGACTGCCCACCACTGTGAGGGCAGACAGGCCTGAGTGTGCAAAGCCTGGGAGCCTCCCCAGGGTGCCTCGGACCGGGCAGGCAGTGCCCACGACTTCACACAACTCTTTGAGCTCCTAGATAATGCATGCAGGCCCTGCTGTCACCTCACCACCGAGTGGAGAAACGTACAGATTTTTCTTTTTTTTTTTTTTTGGTCACAGTGACATTTTGGCGCCACATCCTGGGAAGAAAGGCTCTGGCACGAGCAAACAGGGAACAGTGCGATACAACGGGCGCTGGCGTGCTGGCCACACCCCCACTGTTCTGCACCCAAGAACAAACGAACAAAGGCTGTCATTAGCATCCTTTCTTGACCGTTGGAAATGGTCACGCACACACTGCACACGCCACTCTGAGGCCATCTGTGACCGCCATCACCTGGTGTGACAATCCCACAAGCTCTCATGCCCCAAGACACAAATCCAGAGGTGGGCTCAGGGAAAAACCACCATCCTTCCCCACGGGCATGCCACCTGGCCTGAGTCCTTTGGGACAAAACCCACCAGTCCTACACTACCCCGGGGGGTTGGGGGGGTGGAGGACAGCAGGCCCAGGCCCACCAGGAAGCAAGTCAAAAGCTGGCGATCGTGTGGGCAGAGTCCTCAATTTGGACCATAGACCTAGCACCGGGTGGTGACCCCAGGACCCTTCCAAAGAACTACAAGGCCTTCAAGGCAGAGGCCACCGTGCAGACAGGGGCACGGACCTGTCTCTGCATGCTGCTGAGTCACCCTGCAAGGTGAGATCTGCACCCACCCCAGCTGGCCTCCTCTTAGCCCTGAGGTGACTTCAGCAGAACGGTAAACCTTGGGGCCGAGGGGGGGAACACAAAACCCTCTGTGTCCCCGTTTTGCTCAGGCAGCGGTACTTGAGTGTCACCGTGGGATGGCACACCTAGAAAGCACTGAGCCAGGGGCACAGAGATGCACTAAGCAGGTACTGAGCTGCCGAGTACTTCTGTACAGGCTCACACACGGCACCTGCGTGGGCAGGATAACACATAGGGGACTTGTACAAGCCATCTCCACGGCCACCGACGCAGCTCTCGGGGCAGCAAAGGATCCGCAGACTGCCTTCCAATTTGGCTGAGCAGACAAACCAGAGACAATGTCTGATGCGGAAGCAGGAACCCTGTAAACAGAGCCTTCACATCTGATATGCCCAGAGGGACACAGACACAGCCATCTGTGGACGCAGCTCTCCTGTTACCGCGACATCAAATCAGCCTTCAGCCTGTGGCCGGGACGACCGGCTTGATAATCAGCTCCCAAGTTAGATGAAACACTGATCAAAAAAAAAAAGAGCTGTAGCCCTTGCACTTTTGGGGAGAGTCTTGAAGTCTCGGATTCGGCAGCCCATCATTTCTTTACGTTGAAGCCACCGAGGAGCATCAGCCGCCCACAGCATGCCTGCTTCCTGTCCGAGGTTCTGAGACCAGAACTAGGAAGGCGTTCCCGCCCGTTCCTGCGCCCTGAGCTCCTCCAGCTTCTTCTTATAGCGACTTAGGAAGTATTCGTCAGGCTCAACCCCTGCGTTCTTCAGATGTTCCAGAATCTTCTCCAGCCGGGGCACCGACCGGGCGCCCTCAACCCTCCTTGTGTTCAGGTACAGGGTGAACTCCCGGAAATCCAGCAGCTTACACGTGTCCACGGAGCAGATGTTCCTGATGTCACCAGCCCTATCCAGATGTGGGAAAAACACCAGCCCCGACAACCTCTCCAGCTCCTGCAGGCTCACCTGGAACTCCGCTAGCTGCGGCTGGAAGCCAATGGCCTCGTTGGGAATCACGAAGGCCCCCAGGGCCAGGGGCTCGGCAGACGCTGGGCTTCTGCGAGCCAGGATCACCTTATACAGGTGTGAGGGGACGGCCACATTGTCCTGACCGATCACCTAAAAACAAAACAGCCATATTAGGCACGATAACTTTGTTAGTAGTTTCCGAACTTCTCCCATAAAGAGTTATAGGTACATTTCTTTTCTTTTTAAAAAGATTTTAAACGTTTTCATTGGAAAGTCAGATAAACAGAGAGGAGGAGAGACAGAAAGATCTTTCATCCGTTGATTCACTACCCAAGTGGCTGCAATAGCCGGAGCTGAGCCAATCCGAAGCCAGGAGCCCAGATCCTCCTCCATGTCTCCCACATGGGTGCAGGGTCCCAAGACCTTTGGCTGTCCTCAAGTGTTTTCCCAGGCCACAAGCAGGGAGCTGGGCGGGAACTGGAGCTACTGGGATTAGAACCGGCGCCCATATGGGATCCCGGCTTGTGCAAGAGAGGACTTTAGCCACTAGGCTACTGTACTGGGCCCTGTAGACTTAGAGCTATTCCACCTGTCCGAGGGAGCTTAGGCTCAACTCCAAAGACGATCAACTGAAACGGAGCTCCATATTGGGAAGGTAAGTGTCCAAGGGCTCGGGTCACACCCTCTAGGACAAGGCTCTCCTTGGACAGGTGTCCGACGCAGCAGGTGAGCTGCACGCTGGATCAGGGTGCCTGGGCTCCACGCTTAGTTCCTCCGCTTCTGATCTGGCTCAACTCCCTGCCAGCCACGTGGACAATCGGCACTGAGTTCCTGGCACCCGACCGTAGCCAGACCAGCCCCAGCTGCTGTGGGCACTGGGGAGTGAACTGGGAGGGAGGGGATCACTTTATATATGTCTGTTTCTCTCTGTTTTTTAAAGAAAAACTTCAAAAAAGAGGAATGTCACCCTGTCTGTCCTAAGACAAGGGCACACCACGAGTGAGCCCTGACTTACATAAATGGTTTCAATCAAAATGACAGAAAGGAACTAAAATGTCCTCATGGTATTATTGGCACTTCCAGGTCCTCCCCTGCTAAGAGTAGGTTCTCTTTCCGGGATGAGACAGCTTTGGCTACTGCGGATTCCTTGCTGGGAGACAGGGATGAAAGCTACAAAGATGATCTTACCCCCAACGACAGGGTCACTTGACTTGAAGGTAAGCGAGGGGACTGAGACCTGATGGCTTGGAGGGAAGAGGCCGGACGACCTGTATTTGTTAGGTTGACACACACCAGCCTACACGAAAGTCCTGTGTAGGACTTGCTACCACTGAACCATGCTACCCACCACACGACAGTCCATGCGAAAGCTAGGACTGAGGGCCTGTCTGTAGTGCTAGATCCTAGTACCTGCCAGAATGCTGGAACAGGAGATGGGTCACATTAGGCAGGACCATGACACTAACCAGCACACGAGAGAACCAGGTCTAGGGGTAGACTCTGTGGGGAGCTGTGTGGGCCCAACCCTGTAGAAACACAAATCCCGCTGGTGAGCTCAAGAGTTGGGGTGGTGATGGGCTGAGCGAGGTGTGACCATGGAACCTGCCATCACTCACAGGTAAAGGAACCGACAACAGTCTGGGCTGGTGAAGGTAGCAGTACCCGAATGTGCATCCTAAAACAGAGTGTGGGGCGGGCCAGGCCACAATGGTCTCCAGCTCATACAAGGACAAGATGGAAGGGCAGGCTGGGCACTGGCCTAACACCCACTGGCATGTATGAGATCTGGGTCTGGGGGTGGGTCAGCTGGGGGAACTTGGGTCATAACTCTCACGGATGGTCACGTGGTCCAGACCTGAGGGTTGGAAAAGCTGGGCAAAGTAGCTCCAACTGTTGGCTAATGTGTGGGTTAGTTATGAAGGGGGTGGACTGGGCAGGGCCGAGCAAATGTTAGCTTACCAGCAAGAACAGAAATCAGGCTGGTGCCCGGCGCTGTGGCCGAGCAGCTAAATTCCTAGCCTTGAACAGGCCAGGATCCCATACGGGCTTCATGTCCCAGCAGCTCTGCTTCCCATCTAGCTCCCTGCTTGTGGCCTGGGAAAGCAGTCGAGGACGGCCCAAAGCCTTGGGACCCTGCACCCACGTGGGAGACCTGGAACAGGATCTGGGCTCCTGGCTCAGTCCTGGATTGCAGGCATTTGGGGAATAAACCAACAGATTGCAGCTCTTTCTATTCTGCTTCTCCCTCTGTTGGCCACCCTTTCAAATAAATAACAGGGATGAAAGGGATGGGTCGGGTGCATTGTACAGCCAAGTCTATGAAATACAAAGCCCGCAGATGCCACTCCCAGAAGTCATTTATGCAGCCAGGAAAACGAGCATACACTTTAAAGCAAACGCACAGAGCGGGTGAACCTATGAAAGCCCATTCACCCACATAACTCAGAGGCCTCATGCCTCCTGCTGCCACGAATACAGAGCAGAAAAGCTACAAAGTAAACCCAACAGGTGCCTCTGCTGAGGAAGCTAAGCTCACCACAGGAGGGGAGCCAGTGGAAGCTGCGGGAACAAGTGGTGAGATGCACACAGGGCACCAACAACAGCCCCAAGCAGGCAGAAGCTGAAGATCAAACCAGGCATGCGGCTGCTTAAGGCAGGAGCTGAATCAGGCGCCAGAACAAGGGAGTCAACGGGAACATTCCTGGCGCCACCTGGTGGATTTTTCCCATCATTGCAGCACAGTTCCCAGCCTTGGAAACACGTACATGCTTCTATTTCTCCCCTATTCACTGACTTGGTGCCTACAAAGAGTGATTTTCAAAAAATGATTTATGCATTTTTATTGGAAAGGCAGATTTACAGAGAGAGAGAAAGGGATACAGAGAGAAAGCTCTTCCATCTGCTGGTTCACTCCCCAAGTGGCTGCAGTGTCCAGAGCTGAGTTAATCCAAAACCAGGAGCCAGGAGATTCCTCCAGGTCTCCCATGCAGGTGTCGGGTCCCAAGGATTTAGACCATCTTCTACTGCTTTCCCAGGCCACAAGCAGGGAGCTGGAAGGGAACTGGAGCAGTTGGAATACAAACCAGCACCCACATGGGGTCCCAGTGCACACAGGCAAGAATTTAGTCACTAGGCTACTATGCCGGGCCCATAAAGGACGATTTTAAAAAAAGAAAAAAAAGTAACTGGGGCCTGAGAGATGGCTCAATTCTCTAATCTTCCTGTTGCAGGCGCCAGGATCCCGTATGGAGGACGGCCCAAAGCCTTGGAACCCTGCATCCAGGCGGGAGGCCAAGAAGAAGCTCCTGGCTTCTGGCTTCCAAGTGGCTCATCTCCAGCTATTGCAACCATTTGAGAAGTGAACCAGTGGATGGAAGATCTTTCTTCTTGTCTCTTCCCCTCTCTGAAAATCTGCCTTTTCAAAAAAAAAGCAAATAAATCTCAAGAAAAAATAAAATTCAATCCTGGGGTCAGCCACAGTGGCACAGGGGCTAATCCTCCAGTGTGTGCCCTTGGCATCACGTATGGGCACCATTTCGTCTCCCAACTACTCCACTTCCCATCCAGCTCCCTGCTGATAGCCTGGGAAAGTAGCAGAGGATGGCTCAGTTCCTTGGGTCCCTGCACACACGTGGGAGACCTGGAGGAAGCTCCTGGCTCCTGGTTTTCGATCAGCTCAGCTGTGGCCGCTGCGGCCATTTCAAGAATGAACCAGCAGATGGAAGATCTTTCTGTCTGTCCTCTCTGTTAATAGCTGCATTTCAGGGCCCGGCATGGTGGTGCAGTGGTTAAGGTCCTCGCCTTGCACACCTGGGATCCCATATGGGCGCCGGTTCTAATCCTGGCGGCCCCACTTCCCTTCCAGCTCCCTGCCTGTGGCCCGGCAAAGCAGTCGAGGACAGCCCAAAGCTTTGGGACCCTGCACCCGCGTGGGAGACCCGGAAGAGGTTCCTGGATCCTGGCTTCGGATCGGCATAGCATCGACCGTTGCGGTCACTTGGGGAGTGAATCATCAGATGGAAGATCTTCCTCTCTGTCTCTTCTCCTCTCTGTATATCCGCCTTTCCAATAAAGAAAAATAAAAAATAAATCTTTTTAAAAAACTATCTGCATTTCAAATAAAAACAAAATTTTGAGCAAGCCAATCCCACCGTCTTTAGGGCTATCTTCTCTGTGACTCAATCTACACAATAAATTCCTTCCACTTTAGGGGAAATGGGAGGACTTCCAGAAAATGCCCCTAGCGGCTGCTCCGGGACCGAAGCAGAAGAGTGGTTCAGCGATGCACGCCCGGAGACCTGGCCAGGCACCGCCTTTGCGACAAAGCTGCAGTCCCACCCACCTGCTGCTGGCTTCCTTGCTGACAGAACTGGAAGAGACAATCATACCAGGTACCCTCTGAGGTGCCATCAAGATACAGCGACAAGGGGCCCAGCGGCGTGGCCTAGAGGCTAAAGTCCTCACCCTGAACGCACCTGCCGGGATCCCATATGGGCACCGGTTCTAATCCCAGCAGCTCCACTTCCCATCCAGCTCCCTGCCTGTGGCCTGGGAAAGCAGTCAAGGATGGCCTAAAGCCTCAGGACCCTGCACCCGTGTGGGAGACCTGGAAGAAGTTCCTGGATCCCGGCTTCAGATCGGTATAGCATCGGCCGTTGTGCTCACTTGGGGAGTGAATCATCGGACAGAAGATATTCCTCTCTGTCTCTCCTCCTCTCTGTATGTCTGACTTTCCAATTTTAAAAAATACAGCGATGTGTCCGTTAAAGGAAATGGAGAGGACCCCCAGAGTAGCAGGTGTTACTCAAGCTGCACCTGGCATATGGAAATAGAAACACAGAATGGGCAAGACTGGGTCAGCCACAGGTCAGCAACAAGGCTGCCAGAAAAGGCAAGTTGGGTGCCAATGACACCCCAAACCAACGCTCAAGGGTTTCATGTGAACCAAGTCTCGCTGCTGCAAGAAAAATGGGGAGTCAACTAGAAATGACGATAACCATGCCACAGTGACGAGCCAGCGCTCAGCTGGGACACCAAGGTGGTCCTTTCTCAGGATGCCCACAGCAGCTGCCCTCCACCCAGGACATCAGCACTTGCCACCATGCCAGTGCCCACAGCCAGCCGCGTCAGGGCCCAGAAACAGTGCCCAC